CAGCATCTAGGGCTAAGGTTGTTCTCTTCTGTGCTGTGTGAATTCTCCTTGTTTGTTTGTTTGTTTTTTCAAGACAGGGTTTCTCTGTATTGTTTTGGAGGCTGTCCTCGAACTCGCTCTGTAGACCAGGCTGGCCTCAAACTCACAGAGATCTGCCTGCCTCTGCCTCCCAAGTGCTGGAATTAAAGGCCTGTGCCACCAACGCCCAGCTTGTTTGGTTAGTTTTTCAAGACAGGGTTTCTCTGTGGCTTTGGAGGCTGTCCTGGAACTCGCTCTATAGACCAGGCTGGCCTCAAACTCACAGAGATCCGCCTGCCTCTGCCTCCCAAGTCCTAAGATTAAAAAGTCTGGTACTGCCGGGCGTTGGTGGCGCACGCCTTTAATCCCAGCACTCAGGAGGCAGAGGCAGGAGGATCTCTGTGAGTTCGAGGCCAGCCTGGTCTACAGAGCGAGTTCCAGGACAGCCTCCAAAACAACACATAGAAACCCTGTCTCGAAAAAAAAAAAAAAAGTCTGGTACTGAGGTTGCAGCAGACCCTGGACACCGACTTGTCCAGGAATGGGCAAATGTCATTGTGATGGGTACTGTCAGAGTTATTTTAGAGATAGTGATCTTGGCACTTACACTTGTCAAATTGAAGGTAATTGTAATGATATATTATTTGTGATGTATTAAATCTTGACAGAAGATTCAAAAAAGAGAAGTCAACCTCAAGCTATAGAGTTCAGGCAGTGGTGATACACACCTTTAATCCCAGCAGCCAGAAGCTAGTAGGGAGGTGGTACATACCTTTAATCCTAAAAGTCAGGATTAAGAGAGAGACAGATCTCTGTGATTTTAAGGTCACCCAGAACTACACAAGATTGAATCAATCTAAAAGAGAATTACAGCTCACACCTTTAGCCTTGTAGTCTTTCTGAAGGATAGTTTGCCAATACCATAGATACTTTTTAAAAAGACTTATTTTCTTTCAATTATTTGCATGTTTTTGTGTGGGTGGGGATGTGTGCACATGAATGAAGGTTCTCATGGAGACCAGACGCATGTGATCACCCCAGATATGGAGTTATAAGTGGTTTCCAGTCACCAGATGTGAATGCTGGGAGCAGACTTAAATCTTCTACAAAAGCAATGTGTAGCCGGGTGTTGGTGGGGCACGCTTTTAATCCTAGCACTCCAGAGGCAGAGGCAGGCGGATCTCTGTGAGTTCAAGACCAGCCTGGTCCACAAAGTGAGTTCCAGAGCAGCCTCCAAAACAATACAGAGAAACCCTGTCTCAAAAAAAAGAAAGACAAGAAAAAGCAATGTGTGCTCTTAACTGTTGAGCCGTGTCTCTAACCCAGTGATATCTTTTGAATATTTTATTTGTAGGAAACAATGAAGCACATGCAAGGATTAACATCAAGAATATCAAGCACCACACTGTTTTTGAATTTCAGAAATATGTAATATGTTTATAGCTCTTTACAGAAAAGTAACATGGTGTGTGTGTGTGTGTGTGTGTGTGTGTGTGTGTGTGTGTGTGTGTGTGTGTGTGTGTGTGTGTTGATGGGATTGACTCCAGCAAACCTCAGAGCAGGGAAGGGGAGATATCCTAGAATGACTGGGTTCAATTCTCCCATCATGAAGCTTAAAAAGCACTAGGATGGGGGCTGGAGAGATGGCTCAGCAGTTGAGAGCACTGGCTGCTCTTCCAGAGAACCCAGGTTCAATTCCCACCTCCAACCAGATGGGTCCCAAGCCACCCACGGGTGTGCCCTGAGCCTGGCATACCTATCTCCCTAGCACTAACTCCCAAGGCCTCCCAGATGCTGCCTCTGTGAAGAGTGTCCTGGGGGGCTAATCTAAGGGGCAAGTGTCACCGTTTTAAAACTATTGTTATCTGAAGAACATGCCCAGAATATCAGATCCATTGTGTACATGTTATATAAACTACACACTTTGTCCTTCAGAAGTATCGATTCTAGGAGAGATGTTGGCTCAGTGGTTAAGAGCACTGTCTGCTCTTCCAGAGGATCTGGGTTTGATTCCCAGCACAAACATGGTGGCTCACAACTGTCTGTAACTCCATTCCAGGCCATCTTCAGGTCTTCAAGTATACACATGGTACACAGACATACATACAGGTAAAATACTCATATATATAAAATTTTTCCAGGCAGTGGTGGCACATTACTATTAACCCCAGTACTCAGGAGACAGAGGCAGGTGGATCTCTGTGAGTTTGAAGACAGCCTGGACTACAGAGCAAGTTCCAGGACAGCCAGAGCTACACAAAGAAACTCTGTCTCAAAAAAAAAAAAAAAAAAAAAAAAACCAGAAAAAAAAGTGCCTGCTCTCTCGTTCACTGAGTCAGCCTGCACTTAGTTTGGGAGTTTTTACATTCTACTGTCTGTTTGTGGCTCTCCTTCCTGGCCAAGTGGAGGTCCACAGACATCAGTAAGCAGGGGCCATCAGAAGAGCAGGGCTCGCTGCCATGGAGAAGGTCCTTGGCAGGCTGTCCTGTACCTCCTGGAAAGAGGAGGGCAGGAAGTGACTGAAAGAGACTTGCCCTAAGGGCAGAGACAGCTCCTATAGGAGTATACCCACCAGCCCCTACTGCAAGCTTCTCAGACCCACAGAGCTAGTCCTGGCCATGGTTTCTTTATTTTGTTCCTTCCAGTCAGACTCTGTGATACTAGACCCTAGAAGGCTTCCTCCCCATGCGTCTAGGACAATGACTTTCTCAGGAGCCCTGCCAGAGATTGTTGGTTCTCTATGTGCCTGTGTTTTACAGGCCCAGCCATGACACGTACGTAGATTTTTGTAACTGAAGCTATTCAGACAAGATGGCAAAGCCACCTCCACCAACTGCTACTGTCAAGCCACACCCCGGGCTTCCAAGACCAGTCAACTTGGGTCTAAACAACCTATACACATTTCTCCTTTTCTCTCTTTAAAAACTTCTTGCTGGCCTGGAGAGATGGCTCAGAAGTTAAGAGCACTGGCAGCTCTTACAGAGGTCCTGAGTTCAATTCCCAGCAACCACATAGTGGCTCACAACCATCTGTAATGAGATCTGGTGCCTGCTTCTGGTTTCTCTGTGTTGTTTTGGAGGCTGTCCTGGAACCAGCTCTGTAGACCAGGCTGGCCTTGAACTCACAGAGATCCGCCTACCTCTGTCTCCTGAGTGCTGGATTAAAGGTGTGCTCCACCACCGCCCGGCTCCCTCCCCTTTCTAATAAAACTCCCTGAAGCTCTGTCTGCCTGGCGTGTTTGCCCCCACCCACCCGGTTTCTCCCCCTCCCCTCGGTCTCCCTCGCCTGCCCTGGACTCCATCAGTGTTCCCCTCATGCTTTAGCATAACAGAGGGGCTCAAAGAAGAATGGATCAAAGTAAGACAGACTCCAGCGTGGGCGCAGGCTCCTCAAGCAGTAGCCATAACTGACTGTTTTACAATAATCATATTGGATTTGGATGGGATTTGAATTTTTCTTCAAAAAGTGGCCGGGCATTGGTGGCACACGCCTTTAATCCCAGCACTCAGGAGGCAGAGGCAGGTGAATCTTCGTGAATTCCAGGACAGCCTCCAAAACAATACAGAGAAACCCTGTCTTGAAAAACCAAAAAAAAAAAAAAAAAAAAAAGTGGTTAAGTAGCAGGGCGGTAGTGGCGCACGCCTTTAATCTCAGCATTCAGGAGGCAGAGGCAGGCGGATCTCTGAGTTCCAGGCCAGCCGGATTTACACAGAGATACACTGTTTTAAAAAAAAAAAGTTGCTAAGAAACCTAAATAAGGTGGCCACCAGGTGGTTCCTAGGGGCACAAAAGTCTTTGTACCCACAGATCACTATGGAAACCAGAATGTTAAGCTTACAAGGCCTCTTCTCAACGGAGGCGATAAAATGCCTGTTTTTGCACCAAGAAGGCTGGGAGTAGATTTTGTTAATGACCTGGTGACCTTTTGCTCTCTAAAAGGACAGACCTTGCCCACTCTTTGCTATAGAGGCAGATCTCACCCAAATTCCCCAAAGTGATTATCCCAGACTCTTCCCTCCCTAGACCATTACCCATGCTTGGGGAGACGTCGCTTGTACTTTCTGGGGCCTGCTGCCCTCTATGCTCTTGGTCAGAGACCACACTAGATTCTAGACCTTTTAGCTATGGAACTCACCCTCATGGTCCCATGCGCTTTGTAAAGGAGTTTCTATGCAGTCACAGATTAAGTTTATTGTACATCTATAGCTGGACCGAGTGTTGCCTGAAAACCTTTTCCCAAATTGCACTTGAAAGACCTCGGCATCGAAACACCTGGCACCGAACCAAACCCTCTGCCCAAGAACCGGGGCCAGACCACTGGATGCAAATGCAAGAGGTGGTTTATTGAGTACACAGGCGCCTGCGCTACTGCAACTCGGGTGCAGAGCATACCGGGCTTGCAGGGAGCACAATATTTATAGAGTTTTAATGGTTACATAAGTATCAGCATAGCAACAGGCATTTCATTGACTCATCTTGGGGGCAGGGGTAGTTCCCACGGACTAAATTTCCTGGTATTTCCTCATGAAAGACCCCGACACGCTTCAGCAATTATTATCCGGGTCCCATGACTGCTCTGGTGACCACAGATCCTGTTTGACATCCTGCCAGCTGGGCGAGGCACCTGGTCTGGGTTTTTTCGTTAGGCAACAGCCTGGCCATGTTTTTCTTTTCCTAGGGGGCCCTGGGTAGGGGTCTTTCACACTGTGTTTTGAAGAGTGCACTGTCTTCCCCAGATTAGTGCCAGGCCTCAGGGATTTAGTTGCTGAAAAACAAGCCCTGCTCCCAAATCAGTATGTGGTCAAAGACCTAGGAGAAATGCTGGGGCGTGGGCGTGAGGGACACAGGACACTATGTCCTTTCAACCATCCGGTTGGTACTGGCAAAAGGAAGTCAGATGAGAAGGATTTGCCAGGAATGGGCACCTACAGGTGGGCCTGGGTGATGACGTGCCCCCTTCACTCTCCACTTCCTGTCTCCAGGGGGCAGCAGCTTCGACTTTCCATGCTCTCCTTCCTTCAACACCTGGGTCCTTCTGAAGCGACATCGGGACCCAAAGGACCACTCTGGACCCCTCTGAAGCGACATCAGGACCCAAAGGACCACTCTGGACTCCTCTGAAGGCACATCGGGACCCAAAAGACCCCTTTGGACCCCTCTGAAGCGACATCGGGACCCAAAAGACCTATCCCATTGCTCCCAGGGCTGCTGTCTGCTCAGCTCCGCCTCCACACGCAGTGCAGTGCTGCCGACAGTACCCCGCTAAAAGCATCCCTCCCATTCCTAGGTCCTCAGGTCTCAGCACCTTGACCATGCTCCCACCCCTCCACCCCGAGGCTAGCCTCTAATCTAGTCCTGTGTCCCTCTTGTCGTTGGACTTTCTGTGTTCCCTACCCCGTGGCCAAGGTCGTTGGTCCCTGAGGTTTACTGCTGTTACTGGCCCAGCACAACTGTTCCTGGCCCAGTGCCAATCCGGGCGGGCTGTGGCTGCGCCGTAAGGTTCCTTTTCTTTGCACAGCCCTATAAGGGCTCACCTCGTCCAAGGCTCCTAGGCCCTGGTCACAGTTCACCCCCAAAGACCTGTCTAGTTCTAAACTCAAAAGGCCTAACCAGCTATTGCCCAGGGAAGCCTTGGTGACCCCTATAGCCTCTGAAACCCCATAACCTAATGAGAAGGAGGAAGTCTGCCACACAAGGTGCCTGGAAGTTGCAGCAATGTGTTCCAGACTCCTTAACCCTCAAGAGGAACTAGAGGCCCTCACCCTCTGAATGGGGGCCGGAGAGGGGATGGGGACCAGCCCTGCAGATATACAAAGGTCTTCCTTCTATCTTATTCACATCCTGCCCTCCCAGACCAGCTGTCTGGAACCAACCAGCCCAGAACTTTCAGTTTGGGGTTATTATTAAAGAACTGAAAATGTGAGCCGGGTGTTGGTGGCACACACTTAAAAAAAAAAAAAAAAAAACAGCACTCAGGAGGCAGAGGCAAGCAGATCTCTGTGAGTTTGAGGCCAGCCTGGTCTACAGAAGGAGTTCCAAGACAGCCAAAACAGCACAGAGAAACAGAGAAACCCTGTCTCAAAAAAAAAAAAAAGTTGAAAATGTGAATAAGAAATACAGAAATACACACCAGCAGTGCCCACATCCAGGCCAGTGGCTACCCCAGACCACTGCCTGAAGATGACAGCCTGTTTTACCCTCCCTGTGGACGGTTCCTACCAGGGCTCTGAGCCTCAGATAGTCCTGCCTCCCACACACTGATATTCTGAAAAAGTAACCAGGAACTGGCAAGGCCGTTCATTGAACAAAGGCACCCCTTCCCAAGCCTGGGGGCTTGAGTCTGATCCCTGTCACCAACTCTAACCTCAACAAAACCACTGCAACAAAACCACTGATAAAGCCCTCTCTGCACTCAAAAGGCCACTTCTGGCAGGGTGTGGTGGCACATGCCTTTAGTCCCAGCACTCAGGAGACAGAGGCAGAAGGACCTAGTTTGAGGCCAGCATGGTCTACAGAGTGAGTTCCAGTACAGCCAGGAGTGCATAAAAAAGACCCTGTCTCAAAGAAATAAACCAAGGCATCTTACACTGTCCCTGAACTGGAGCTGGCCCTGCTGGAGAGACAGGAATAAGAAGCAAGGCTGGGCAGGGCACTTGAGGGTCAGTTCTGCTTGGAAGAGGACGGGACACACACACACACACACACACACACACACACACCCCTGAAGATGTGGCATGCCAGATGGAGTTGCTTCCTGCAGTGTGGACAGCCCTGGCCTGGCACAAGTCCCACTGATACATTAAAATACATGCACTGTGCATTCAAATGTATACACACAAACACAAATGCATCCATACTTCCAAATATATACATTTCATGTGCTCATATAGAAACGTGAGCGCTGGGCGGTGGTGGCGCACGCCTTTAATCCCAGCACTCGGGAGGCAGAGGCAGGTGGATCTCTGTGAGTTCGAGGCCAGCCTGGTCTACAAGAGCTAGTTCCAGGACAGCCTCCAAAGCCACAGAGAAACCCTGTCTCGAAAAACCAAAAAAAAAAAAAAAAAAAAAAAAAGAAACGTGAGCACATAAACTTACATGTGAAAACACATGAACAAGTAAACATTACATTACATACCCATATAATACACACAGATATACATACAACATACGCACACTGTAGAGTTTACTTCCTGTTGCTGTGATAAAGCACTCCAACCAAGGGGAGGAAAGGGTTCCCTTGACTTGTATTTTCAGTTCATCTGGAAGGGAGTCATCACAGGAACCTGTAATGGATGGAAGCTGTTTGCTGGCATGTTCCCTGGCTCACGCCTTGGCCTGTACTCCCATGGCTTTCTTTCTTTTTTTCTGGTTTTTCGAGACATGGTTTCTCTGTGGCTTTGGAGGCTGTCCTGGAACTTGCTCTTGTAGACCAGGCTGGCCTCGAACTCACAGAGATCCGCCTGCCTCTGCCTCCCAAGTGCTGGGATTAAAGGCGTGTGCCACCAACGCCCGGCCTCCCACGGCTTTCTTATACAGTCCAGGGATGCCTAGGGATTCCCATGTCAATAATCACTCAAAACAATGACCCCCACAGACGTGCAATGCTTGAGATGCCCCTGTCTCAGGTGATTCTAGGCTGTGTCAGGTTGACAACTGAAGGGAACCAGGACACATACATATATACTTGACATTTACTCCTTGAAGCCTCCCACTATACCAGCGTGGACAGGAACTCACAGGCAGCAAATGAGTTCCATCAGAGCTCAAAATGAGCCCAAAGCCCCACAGAAGATAATGTTTCCCTTTTTGTCAGAATCTAAGTTTCTAGTTTTGTGCAGCGGCAACAAATCAGGGACACCAGGGACCTCCTTCAGGATGGGGCAGGAACCGCTTCTTCATCAGTAGGACCTGCTATAGGGAAACACTGAGTCCCGGTGCTATTTCACACTTACTGCAGAGCCTTTGGGACAAGTGCCAGGCCAAACACAGGGATGCATGGGTACATGCACAGATGGACACACAGACCCAGACCCCCCCACACACACAGAGGGGGTGGAGAGAGGGGGAGAGAGAAAGGGAGGGAGGGAGAGAGGGAGAGAGAAAGAGGGAGAGAGAAAGGGAGGGCGAGAGAGAGAGAGAGAAGGAGAGAGAGAGAGAGAAGGAGAGAGAAAGGGAGGGCAAGAGAGAGAGAAGGAGAGAGAAAGGGAGGGCAAGAGAGAGAGAGAAGAAGAGAGAAAGGGAGGGAAGGAAGGAGGGAGAGAGAGAGAGAGAGAGAGAGAGAGAGAGAGGTCTATAGAAAAGTCTAGAAGCAGCAGCAGCAGGATAGAGTAGCTCGAGAGGAAGGGATGAAGGTCTCCACTTGGCCCATAAATATCCCTGAAGAGCTAGGAGTTGGCAATGAGCGGACCTGACAGCAGCCTGTCCCTACTGTAGCTGGGCATGGGAGAGGGGACACTCTCAAGAGCTCTTGTCTACACTAAGCCTGGGGCTCAAGCCACATCCTTAGAGAGACCTGACAGAGTCGGCTGTAAGGAATTGTGTGTTGAGAGCAGGTTCAAGGCACCTGACACCAGAACACCAAGGTCCCCAAGGAGCCTGTAGCTAGATTGAGTGCTTCTACTAAACTCCAGACTTATAAAAAGGTTTATTTTTATTTTATGTGTATAGGTGTTATACCTTCTGAAGGCGTGGGTTTAAATGAGTTCACCAGACCCAAGATAAATAATAAATAGGTGTTTATTAGGGAAGAACCGCCATAGCCTGGCTGTTCCAGAAGATTCAGTCTCTGCTCTTCCAATGCTCTCAAGAGCCCTGGAGCCAGGCCCTCCTCTACCTTAAAGGGTCAAGTCTGCACCTGAAACCACGCCTAAAGGGTGTGGCCACTGCTACAAGTTCACTGGCAGACAAGATGCCACTACAGCCATCATGTGTGTCTGTGCACTCTGTGTGTGCAGTGCCTGTGAAGGCCAGAAGAACTCGATGGAAGCTCTGCAACCGGAGTTACAGTTGTTTGTTAGCCACCAGGTGAGTGCTAGAAACCAAACTTGGATCCTTAAGCAGTCATCTCTACAGCCCCCGGGGGTTCAGAGTTTGTTTTTGTTTTTTTAATAAATGCTGTTATTGAGAAGCAATTCATATACCTTGTACTCCAGCCATCTAAAAGTCCATGATTCTGTGAGTCTACTGTATTCAGAAGTGTGTGGGCATGGTGGCGCACGCCTCTAATCCCAGTGCTCGGGAGGCTTGGCAGGCCACCTGGAAACTGCCCATGTATTCTAAAGCAGCACCCGGCCGTTTGCTGTATGCACCTGCAAGGGCCCAGTTTGTTTCTCCACATTCTTACAACTAGTTACTTAGGATGAATGAATGCCAACCTAGCGGCCTTGATGCTATCTAGTTCTGATTTGCATTTTCTTGATAACCAGTGAAGTGCTTATTGGGCAATTTGCACTACTACGGAAGTCCATTCAGATCTTTTACTACGGCTCAGACGTTTAAGAAAGAAAAGTGCTGCGCAGTATTAGGTACCAGAACCAGATGAAACTGAAGCTCCCCGTAACGGAGAACAGAGGCGCTTCCCGAAGCCCGGGTGGGCTCCGGAGAGGAGGAGGAGTCTGGGGCAGCCTGCACCGCCGGCCCGACTGTTCCGGGAGGGAGGGAGGGAGGGAGGCAGGGCCCCTTGCGTCCGTCAGTCCGGGCTGAGCTTCACAGTTTCACTTTTGTGTCCTTGCCCCTCCTAGCGTCGAGCTTCCCTGACTCCCGGCCTGAACAGACCGGAGACCCCTCCCTGGGCCCCAGCGCGTCCTCGATTGGCTTTGTGGGTCCAGACAGCTCAGGAGAGGTGAAGTTCTCAAGACTGAGGTGAGCCACCCTGCTACTCAACCCTCCCGGAGTCGGCCGCCCCTTCTCTCGCACGGTCTGCTCTGTGACCTGGGTGGCAGTTTGTTGGGTGGGGGATGCCTCCCTTCCCAGAAGCACCACTATTCCAGACAGCTTGAGGAAGCCTAGCCTCTATGAAGGCCGCCCACTAACCCACAGTGGACCCAGCCTGGTTTGGGCTTGATGCTGACAAAAACTCTCCAGGCTTCTGAACTTCATGCTGATCCCCTAGCCAGCAAGTCCCTCCCTGAGCCCCCACCCCCATCCCCCCCGACCCCTGTGCCTTCCTGGCTCACTGTCTTCCATCAGCAGTCCCCAAAGAACCCAGTTTCCTAGGGGTAGGACTGTCTCTCCACGTGGCACAGGTTGTCTGTCTGTCCTGGGCTTCCTTTGCCCTCTGACCCATGAAGGCTCTTCCAGGACAGCGGGCTCATGGAACTATGCATGAGAGAGAGAGCTCTGAAGGAAACCACTGAAACCTGGAACACTGGCTTTGCTGTGGGCCCCTGTGCCAAGTATCCCAGAAGTGAGAGCTTGTGTTGTTACACGAATTAATAAAAGACCCAGAGACAGGTATTGGGGTTCAAGCTGAAAGTCAGGGAAGCAAAGCACGCATCCACTAGCTCTCACCTCTAGTCAGGCTGAAAGGGCTGATCCACCCAGGAGCCCTTCACCAAGTCTCAAACTGCTGCCTCTCCTCGGTGCGGCTGGAGAACGAATGCCTCCCCCCTAGTGCTGGGATTAAAGGTGTGTGCCTGGCTTCTATGGCTTGTGGCTGACTTTGCTTTCTGGATCCTCTGTCAAGCTTTTTTTTTTTTTTTTTTTTGGTTTTTCGAGACAGGGTTTCTCTGTGGCTTTGGAGGCTGTCCTGGAACTCACTTTGTAGACCAGGCTGGCCTCGAACTCACAGAGATCCGCCTGCCTCTGCCTCCCAAGTGCTGGGATTAAAGGCGTGTGCCACCAACGCCCGGCCTCTCTGTCAAGCTTTAGTAAATCATAAATAATAACATTGCCACATTGTGTT